CAACATGTTCAAGGAAAGCTACCAAACGGGCTTCGCGCGCGTGCATGTCGAAAATGTCGAAATCTTTCGAACGCCCTTGAGCGCGTGCTGGGGTGGCACGATCAGTGTCAAATAATACCATGCGAGCCACTCTCGCGCGTCTGCCGCGCGCGAATCGAATTCCTTCGCAAACCTTCATCACCGACGCGAAAGCGCCGTCGTCGTCGGCGTGATCAGCCTGTCTTTCCTCGTCGGCGCCGTCGTCGTCCTCCTTGGCGTCGTCGTCGTATCCGTCGTTGTCGCCGGGGTCGTCCTTCCTCCTCCCTCGTCGTCGTCGTCGTCGTCCGTCGTCGGCGTCTCGTCGTCGTCCCTCCTATTTCGTCGCCGTCGTCGTCGGCGTTGCCATCCTCGTCGTCGTCGTCGTCCGCTTCGTCGTCGTCGTCGTCGTCGGCGTCGTCGTCGTCGTCGTCATCGGCGTCGTCCTCGGCGTCCTCGTCGTCAGCGTCGTCGTCATCGTCGTCGTCGGCGTCGTCGTCGTCGTCGGTGTCGTCGTCGTCGTCGTCGTCGTCGTTCTCGGCGTCGTCGTCGTAGTCGTCGGCGTCGTCGTCGTCGTCGGTGTCGCTGCCAAGTGCCATTTGGTACCAACTGTCACGGTCTCAAGAGGTCTTGCGACCAAGTTGCGGCTGGGAGGGTGGGATGTTTGCACGAGCGGCGGAGAGGGCGGCTTCAAGCCCCCCCCCCCCCCCAGACTTAACTCTTCCCCTTTTCGTATTGCAATTTAAATATAATTCTGCCCCACCGCCCATCCTAACTATGAATCTACACTAGCCCAGGGGGGCGGTATCGCCCCACCCCCGCCATCCTCTGCAAATGAAATATGCGCGCACACTCGTTTACCAAACATCAGAAGTTGTCAAACTCCCTTGCAAGAAAAGGAACGAAGTGCACACGCGCGCGCCGTCGCGCGCGTGCCAAAATCATTCAAAAACCTTCGGTGTCGGAAGGATTCCAAATCGAATCCCCCGGAAAAAACATACAAAAAACACAGGGTTTCGCAACACTGATTCTAAAAAACATGCGCCCCCCCTTGCGAAATCTTCTATATATATATATATATATGTATATATATATATACAGCTACACTAGATACTAATACTACTAATCACCATCATAATACAAGTTTGTCCCAACCATCCTGTAGTGCTGGGTCCTCGTTTTGAAAGACAGCGCCCCGCGTCCCACCTCCTCTCCTCCTCCTCCCCCTCCTCGCCCTCCTCCCTCCTCCCCCTCCTTGCCTCTGCTCTCGGCAAACCCCTCACACGTTTCGTAGCCCCATAGGGAGCTCGACCGAAGGTCCCAGCGGCACAGCCCGCATGCGGTTCCCCCACCCAGGGCAACGCTTCGTGGCCCCATAGGGAGCTCCACCGAAGGTCACAGTGGCACAGCCCGCATGCGGTTCCCCCACCCAGGGCAGCGCTTCGTGGCCCCATGGGGAGCTCCACCGAAGGTCCCAGCGGCACAGCCCGCATGCGGTTCCCCCACCCAGGGCAGCGTTTCGTAGCCCCATAGGGAGCTCCACCGAAGGCCCAGTGGCACAGCCCGCATGCGGTTCCCCCACCCAGGGCAGCGTTTCGTGGCCCCATAGGGAGCTCCACCGAAGGCCCCAGTGGGGGTGCCCGCATGCGGTTCCCCCACCCAGGGCAGCGTTTCGTGGCCCCATAGGGAGCTCCACCGAAGGCCCCAGTGGGGTGTTCGCATGCGTTGGCACAGCCCAGGTTCGGGGGCAGCGTGTCGTAGCCCCATGGGGAGCTCCACCGAAGGTCCCAGTGGCACAGCCCGCATGCGGTTCCCCCACCCAGGGCACCGTTTCGTGGCCCCATAGGGAGCTCAACCGAAGGTCCCAGTGGCACAGCCCGCATGCGGTTCCCCCACCCAGGACAGCGTTTCGTGGCCCCACAGGGAGCTCCACCGAAGGTCCCAGTGGCACAGCCCGCATGCGGTTCCCCCACCCAGGGCAGTGCTTCGTGGCCCCATTGGGAGCTCCACCTAAGGCCCCAGTCGCGCAGTTCGCATGCGCCCCCCCTCCCACCCCCACCCAGGGCAGCGCTTCGTGGCCCCATAGGTAGCTCCCCCGAAGGTCCCAGTGGCGCAGTTCGCATGCGTCCAGTATTGCGTCTCGTGGCCCCATAGGGAGCTCCACCGAAGGTCCCAGTGGCGCAGTTCGCATGCGTCCTCCCCACACCCAGTACAGCGCTTCGTGGCCCCATAGAGAGCTCCACCGAAGGTCCCAGTGGCGCAGTTCGCATGCGTCCCCCCCCACCCAGTACAGCGCTTCGTGGCCCGGCTTCCCCGAATGCGATACCCACAACTGCATATGGTTGGGTCTTTCGCCAGGCTATTTGTGTGTATATATAAGCAAAAAATCAAACAAACAAGCAAAAAAAAAGGTAAATACTACCAAACGGGTTTCGCGCGCGCATGTCGAAATCGTTCGGCCGCCCTGCGCGCGTGCCGTCGCGAGAATCACCAGCAACAAGTGGGACGAAGTGCACGCGCGCGCGTCGTCGCGCGCGCATGCTGGAATCCTTCGAAAATCTTAGGTTTCGGACAGAATTCAAAATCAAAAGCCCTAAAAACATACCAGAACACCGGGTTTCGCAACACGGATTTTCAACGAAAGCGTGCGCGCGCGCTCTTGCGTCGTCGTCGTCGTCGTCGTCGCCGTCCTCCCTCCTCCCTCGTCGTCGTGGTCGTTTTCGCCGTCGTCGTCCTCTGTCTTTCCTCGTCGTCGTCGCCGTGGTCGTCCTCTTTAGCGTCATCGTTTCCGTCGTCGCTGTCGCCGTGGTCGTTCTTCCTCCTCGTCGTCGTCGTCCGTCGTCGGCGTCTCGTCGTCGTCCCTCCTATTTCGTCGCCGTCGTCGTCGTCGTCGTCGTCGTCGTCGTCGTCGTCGTCGTCGTCTTCCCTCCTCCCTCATCGTTGTCATCGTCGGCGTCGCACTCCTCCTTCCTTCTTCGTCGTTCGCGTCGTCGCCGTCGTCGGCGTCGTCGTCGTCGGCGTCGTCGTCGTTTTCGTCGTCGTCGGCGTTGTCATCGTCGTCGGCGTCGGCGTCGGCGTCGGCGTCGTCGTCGGTGTCGTCGTCGTCGTCTTTGCCGTCGTCGTCGTCTTTGTCGTCGTCATCGTCGAAGTCGTCGGAGTCGTCGTCGGTGTCGTCGTAGTCGTCGTCGGCGTCGTCGTCGTTGTCGCTGTCGTCGTCGGCGTCGGTGTCGCTGCCAAGTGCCATTTGGTGCCTACCGTCACGGTCTTAAGGGGTCATGCGACCAACTTGCGGGTGGGAGGGTGGGTTGTTTGCACGACCAGTGGAGAGGACAGCTTCAAGACAGTCAAATTGAATTGCACCACAGATTGCACCACATAAAGTGCGCTACATAAATTTTCCTTTTTTCTACAAGAGTAATACAGCCCACCCCCCCTCCCAGGGCCAGACTTAACGACCATTCGCACGTGATTATGACCCCTTGTCTATTTTACATACTGACACATACCATCCCTGCCCAGCCTGCATCGACACCACCCGCCATCCTTTGGAAAAACACAAAAAACTAGCACCCTCGCTTATCACAAATCGTCACTGTTCAAGAACCTCTTGGAAGAAAATCGACAAAGTGCAAGCACGCGTCGTTGCGCGCTCGAAGTGCCACGGAAGACATTTGTAAACACATGGTTTCGTAAACGCATGGTTTCGCAAACACATGGTTTCGCAAACACATGATTTCGAAAATCGAGGTGTTGTAGAAGTTTTCTCAAATACATGGTTTTGCATCAATAATTTCAAAAACACACAAAAACGGAACAACAAAACAAACAAACAAAAAAACAAACAAACAAACAAACAAACAAACAAAATAACGCGGGAATGAAACTTTGCAGATGGCCACTGGCTTTCGTTCACTTTCATAAAATGTTTCCAAATTGGCTTCTCGCGCGCGGGCCGAAATCATTCGAACGCCCTTACGCGCGGTGTGTCGCAGAAGTCCCGTGCAAAAAAAGAGAACGAAGTGCACGCGCGCGCGTCGTCGCGCGCGCGTGCCGAAATCCTTGGGAAATCACCATTGGTTTCGTAGGACTATCAAATCGAGCGCCCCAAAAACATTTAAAAACACACGGTGGTGCAACATGTATTTTAACGAACAAGTTAAAGACTGCGCCCGCGCTCCTACGTAGTCTGAAAGAAACCATCGGTTTCTGGCATGCTCATCAAAGTGTGCCTAACAGAACTCTCGCGCCGCATGTCGAACTCATTCGAACACCGTCGCACGCGTGCTGGGGGGGCACGATCCGTGTCGAATTGGCGGGCCAATCGCGCCCGCCGGCCGCGAGCGCATGTCGAAATCTTTCGAAAACCTTCATCGCCGACGCGAGGACATCGTCATCGTTAGCGGCGGGCGTGATCAACATCGGCACCGTCATTCGCCTTGCCGCCATCGCCACCTTCGTCAACATCGCTACTCTCATAACCGTGTCTACCTTTGTCGGCGTCGCCATGATACCGCGCCCGCCCAAGTCACCGACTTGCACTAAAGTGCCAGCCGGGCAGTGCCCAGCGGTCAGCGCCACCGCGGCCGCGTCGGTCGCGCCAAACTAACTGGCCGCTATGCGCGCGAGCATGCGCGGGCCAGCGCGGCCGCAGAGGTACACCAGCCAACGCCGAGCACTCATCGCAATCGCCGCCGCATTGGTTTAGCAAACCAAGTTGCGGGTGTGTGGGTGGGATGTTTACAAGAGCATGGAATTCGTCAACTCGTTTGTAAGAATCAATCGCACCACATAGACTGCACCACAGAAATTGCACAACATAAACTGCTAAACATAGATTGCACCACATGCTTTGTGCCTGATAAACTGCACAACTTAGATTGCTCCACATAGATGGCACTACATCGCTTGCTCCACATAGATTGCGAAACGCGCATTGCTAGAATACAAGACTGGGGCTCAGGCCGGATCTCGTTTGTTCCTCGATCCTCCTTGACCACGCGCACGCGCAGCTCGTCGCCGATCTGCACCTCCTTGCCGAAGGCACCCCGGTCGAGGTCGCCGGGGCGGATGAAACCCCAGCGCGCCAAGCCGCCCTCTGGCAGGGCCACCTTGAAGGGGCCGAGTGAAGCACAGAGAAATCTATGCCAATCCCAGGGTTCCCCTTATCTATCCATATTTCCTGGCGTCCTTCTCTTCCCCTCCGTTTCCGCTACTTGCCCACAGTCAAATGGAAACCAGCGTGCAGTTATGCTTGTGTTCCTGTTGCCCTCCCAGCACCTCCGCGAACACGCCGAAGCTCATCACCGCCGTCACCCTCCCGCCGAGCCAGGCGCCCGCCTCCAACTGCCCCACGGCCGAGAGGTTCTCCGCGGGCCGCTTCGGGGAGACGGCGACGGGTAAACAGAAAAAACGCTGCTGCCTCTGCTTCGGGCCCCCGTGTAGCAACTTTACGTCCTCCGGCTCGCCCGTGGGCCACGCGTCCACCACGTCGCCCGGCTGCAGGCAGCGCTCGACGCCGGGGGCGAAGGCGTCCGCGAGCCACCTGAGCGACGATCGAAAACGGGCTTTACGCGAGATGGCACAGCGACATGACTCGGTGGCTCGCGCGGGCCGCCAGCGCGGCACGCTGCATCGGAAACGAGGGCTCTCACCCGCAGCCTTTGGCGGGCAGCTTGCGCGAGCCGGCGCAGTCGAACCCGCTGCTCTGCGCTGCTCACCTGGCGCTGGCGAGGCCCCTCAGCCTGGAGAGGCGCTGGGCCGCCGCCGACGCCTGGGCGCCGACGTCGATGTCGACCTTCATGCCGCGAGAGTCGACGGCCGACACCACCGCCTTCAGCTTGCGCCCGATGGGCAGGCTGGCGTCCGCCAGCTCCAGCCGCCGCACCAGCTGCGACTTCTGCCCCAGCCAGGAGAGGTCCCGCCTGCGCAGCTCCTCCCTCAGCTCTCGCAGGGTGGTCGGGGGCTGCGGGAGGTGCCCCCCCCCCCCCGGACCTCCGACGGCATGCGTGCTTTCAGTCTGGGCGCCTCTCCTCGAGCTCGACCCACGGGCCCTAATTACTTGAATGAGTTGTGAGTTGAGCTGGCCAATTCTCAGAAAGCAGAGGCACTTCCGCATCCGCTTAGAAGAGCGCCGAACTGCTGACAGGAGCGCCGGACTGCTCATGAGAGCGCCGGCCGGGTGAGAAGAGTGTATGAGACGCGGTAGATCGCTATAGCATATTAACAGGCGCTCCAGCGTTCGAAGATACTGTGCTGGGGATTGTAAGCTGTCGGTCTGTATCCCTACATCGAGCTAAGTCGAGATAAATCATTACATGCGCGAAAGCCTAAGCCACGCTACTAAAGTTTAACTTAGTTTAGCGGACGTGATGCACTTGCCTGTGAATTTTTGTTAGTTGTTTGTTGTGAATTAGCGCAGCTGTAACATCCACCAACATGATTTCGGCGACGCCGCTATGAGTGATAAAAACAATTATGTTACATATAGCTAATGCCCCGCATCCCTGAAGGTTGAACGAAACCAAGAGAAAACATGATGCTTCGCCCAGCAGCTCTGAACGTTGAACGGAGCCACCAAAATCAACAATATGTTTCGACCCGCCAGTCCTGAACATTGAGCGAGACCTCACAAGAGATCAGATGGGGTTTCGGCCCGCGGACCTGGACACTGAACGAAACCAACAAAAAACAGGATATACTGACCCGCGGCCCTTGAAATTTGAACGAACACCCCCAAAAAATGTCCCGGCGAAAGACCCAACCACATGCAGTTGTGACTACGCGTTGTGGGTACCGACTGCTTTCGATGTAAAACTTGTGGGGGCCACAAATCGTGTGAGTGGTGTGCCGAAACGGGTGGTGGTGCCATGCGGGAGCTGCCACTGGAGCCTTCGGTACAGCTCCCGATGGGGCCACGAAACCGTGTGAGGGGTGTGCTAAAATGGGCGTCGGGCACATGCGGACCCTGCCAGTGGGGCCTTCGGTGGAGCCCCCTATGGGGCCACGAACCGTGTGTGAGGGGGCCACAGTGGCGACGTTCGTATGCGTCCACCCCATAATTTTCGGCACATCACGCGTTTCGCGGCCCCATACGAAGCTCCACCGAAGGCCCCGATGGCGACATTCGCATGCGCCCCCCCTGTCCATTTCGGCACACCCTCACACGCTTCGTGGCCCCATTGGGAGCACCACCGAAAGCCCAAGTGGCCATGTTCGCACGGCGGCCCCGCCCCATTTCGGTACACCCCTCACACGTTTCGTGGCCCATACGTACCTCCACCGAAGGTCCGACCCCGCCATGCCGGCACACCCTTTACAGGCTTCGTGGCCCCAAGGGAAGATCCACCGAAGGCGACACCCACAGCAGCGACACCCACAAGTGCATATTGTTGGGCCCTTCGCCTGGATAACTCTTAGGACGCGAGCATGTCTCGAATTCAGAGACTGCTCGCAGACTGGCGACACCCCAGGCCAGAGACGCCCCTTGCAGCTCCCGAGTCGGAGGTCGCGCCAGCCACCCGCACCCAGCGACGCGGCGCGACGCCGCACCCGCGGCTGCGCCGCGCGCGCCGCGGCCGCGCAGGGCCCGCGCCACGCCCAGCCAGCGGCCGCCGCGCCGCGCCGCGGCTGACGAACGCCTGCGGCCAAGGCGGCGAGCACCAGCAGCTCCGCCTGAGGTCGTGGCGTTGCAATTCGTTCATACAAGCGTCTGCGCGCGGCTTCGGGCCCCGGGACAATCACAGATCGATCCGCCTATGTGGACGCCCGACATGGGTACGGAAAGAATGGGTACAATGCCCAAAAACAAATGTTGTCCCAAACCAACAGCGGCCGCTGTTGGGCAGGCGGCCTTCTGTCTCCAATAGACACAGGCCGCGGCGGCGTGGACAGCGAGTCCTGTTCAAAATGAACAAGATCCGCTGTTGGGCATTGCACCCATTCTTTCCGTGCCCACTTCGTTCGTGCAGAGCCTAGAAAGATGGCGCAGGAAGCTGGGGTGGGCTGCGCTCGCAGGTGAAGACGAGAGGGAAGAGGAGGAGGAGAACGAGGAGCAGGAGGAGGAGGACGAGGAAGAGGAGGACGAAGAGGAGGGGGAGGAGGAAGAGGAGAAAGAGGAGGAGAAGGAGAAGGAGGAAAAGGAGCAGCAGGGGAGGAGGAGGAGGAGGAGGAGGAGGAGGAGGAGAGACGAGGAGGAGGAGGAGGAGGAGGGGGGAAGGAGGAGGAGGAGGAGGAGGGGAGGAGGAGAAGGAGGAGGAGGAGGAGGAGGAGAAGGAGGAGGAGGGGGGGGGAGGAGGAGGAGGAGGAGGAGGAGGAGGAGGAGGAGGAGAGGAGGAGGGAGGAGGAGGAGGAGGAGGAGGAGGAGGAGGAGGAGGAGGAGGAGGAGGAGGAGCAGGAGCAGGAGCTGGAGGAGGAGGAGGAGAAGAATGAGGAGGAGGGGGAGGAGGAGGAGGAGAAGGAGGAGGAGGAGGAAGAAGAACAGGAGGAAGAGGAGGAGAAGGAGGAGGAGGAGGAGGAGGAGGAGGAGGGGGGAAGGAGGAGGAGGAGGAGGAGGAGGAGGAGGAGGAGGAGGAGGAGGAGGAGGAGGAGGAGGAGAGGAAGGAGAAGGAGCAGTAGGCGGAGGAGGAGGGGGGAGGAGTGGGAGGAGGAGGAGGAGGAGGAGGAGGAGGAGGAGGAGGAGGAGGAGGAGGAGGAGGACGACGACGACGAGGAGAAAGAGGAGGAGGAGGAGGAAGAGGAGGAAGGGAGGAGGAGGAGAGAGGAGCAGCAGGAGGAGGAGGGGGAGGAGGAGGAGAAGGAGGAGGAGGAGGGAGGAGGAGGAGGAGGGGGAGAGGAGGAAGAGGAGGACGATGAAGAGGAAGAGGAAGAGGAGGACGAGGAAGAGGAAGAGAAGGAAGAGGAGGAGGAGGAGGAGGAAGAGGAGGGGGAGGAGGAGGAGGAAGAGGAGGAGGAGGAGGAGGAGGAGGAGGAGGAGGAGGAGACACATGCATTTAAAATGAAACACATCAAAAACCGCCATCCGAGGGATCGGCCCCCACGCGGCATCTCCTGTCAAGGACCCGCTGCCCAAGCCCTCCGGCCTGAGCGCGGGAGGAGAACCCGAAAAGCGCAAGGCTTCGGATGAGGTCGACCCGATCCGCTCAACAGCGGGGTCGAGTCCAAGCTCAGGCACGCCTCCTGGGCCCAACTACGTCGAACAGCGAACGCGCTGCTCCGACTCGGTTCTCCTTGCGGGACGGGCGCTTGCCTTGCAAAATCCAATCCAACTGCCTCTCGCGGCCTGGGGAACGGGACCCCAGGCAATCCGACACGAGCGCTCCGACCCCAGGAGCTCCCAGGGCGGCCGATGGACCCGCAAGTGTTGCAAAAGACCGCGGGTCCCACCGGGGCCCCAGCTGCCGAGGTCACTGGAGCTTCGATGCAGGAATGGCCTCTGGCCTTCCAAGGCCCGAGGAGGACCCAAGCCTCTTCCCCAGGGGGCGGCGGGAGACCAAGGGGAGGATAACACCTCGCCGGCGCCCCACACCACGACGCTAGCCGTAGCGCTCCCTCCTCCGAGAGGAGGAGGAGGAGGAGGAGGAGGAGGAGGAGGAGGAGGAGGAGGAGGAGGAGGAGGGACAGGAAGAGGAGAGGGACAGGAAGAGGAGAAGGGGCAGGAAGAGGAGAAGGAGGAGGAGGAGGAGGAGGAGGAGGAGGAGGAGGAGGCATATGGAGCAGGGCCACCAGCCGCGCCCACGCGCCAGCGGCGCCGACGGCGCCGCGGGCCTGGCGCCGGGGGGGCATGGCGCCCGCCCGCCCGGCGGGGGCGCCGGCGCCTCGGCCGGCCGCTCGCGCCTCGGCGCCGCAAAAGGCTGCGCCGCGGACGGGGCGCCCCTGAGAAGCTGCTGCGCGCGGGCGGGCGCCCATGGGCCCTCGCGCGGCCGCAGCCGCGGCGCCGCGCGCGCGCGCCTCCCGCCCCGCGGGGGCCGCGGGCGCTCGCCGAAGCGGCGCGGGGCCCCAGAGCCGCGCGGCGATCGGGCCGCGCGGTGGCCTCGGAACCTTTCGCGGCCTCGCCGCGCGAGCCGTCGCCGCGCGGCTTTTGGGGGCTCGGGGGCCCCGGTCGCCCGAAGCATCCCTGGAACACGGCCCGGGTCCCAAAGCCACAGGCGCTGCCGCCACGCGGGGCCAGCGGCGCCTCGTCTGGCGGCAACGCGCGCCGACGTCGCGCGGGCACGGGGCCCGTCGCTGAGCCGCGCGCCCGAAGCCGTGTCCGCGGCAGCGCTCCCTCGAGTCTGGGCTGGAGGCGGCCCATGCAGGGCCACTGCCCCCACGAGCGGAGGGGGGTTCAGGCCGCGGCGGGGTCGCGGGCCACCGCATGCCTCGGGCCCCGCGCGGCAGGAGCGCGCGCCTCCGAGAACTTCACCCTGAGGTCCAAGGCACGCGCCTCGCAGCCCCCCCCCCACCCCGCTGCAGCGACGCAGGGGTCGCGGCGGTGAGCCAGCGGCTGGGTGATGGGAGTAGAGGTCGGGGAGACGTAAGACTCGGGTTCGGGGGACTCGGGTTGGTCTCATGGGTCCTCCAGGAAAACATGCCGAGACCCAGTCTGAGACTTGGCGCCAGCTCCTGCTGCAAACATCGCTGGACCGCCAAATATTCAAAATGGGCCAGTCAGGCAGAGTCGGCAAACCCGAGGTCCCGCGAACTCGAGTCGTACGTTTCCCCGAAGGGGAAGAGAGAGAGAGAGAGAGAGAGAACTCCCCCACCCAAAAAAAAACAATGCGTGGAGTTTCCCATATGCGCATCTATTCGCATGGACCTGCCCGCCGTGAGTGTCTAGGCGCAAGAGTTTTCGAGTATCAGCAGGCTTGAGTTGTGACGGTCTGGTCATGAATCTAACTGCGAACGAATTGGAGCGTGAATGAGTCTCAGTAATACGAGCGCGTCTCTGCACATGAGCCTGGGGCCTCCTGGGGCCTCCAGAAACCTCCTTGGGGCCTCGTAGGGCCTCTTGGAGCATCGAGTGGCTTCCTGAGGCCTCCTGCGGCCTCGCGTGGCCTCCTGGGGCCTCCTTGGAGCCTCCTGGGACCTTCTAGGGAGGATTCGTGCCCCAGGAGGGGCCCAAAATATAGGAACAGACGTACATAAGACATTGCGGATCGGAGCCGCAGGAAAAGGGCAATCTATAGGAACACACGTGAAACACAAAGGACTCGTGCCCAAGGGGAGGCCCCAAGTATAGGAACATACATAAAAGTTAGGATTACATACACAGGAGAAGGACAACATATGTAAACATACGTGTAACATCAAGGATTCGTGCCCCAGGTGAGGCCCAATATATAGGAGCATACGTAAACACACATGGGATTGGAGCCACTCCTGTTGCCTTCTGAGGCCTCCTGCTCCTGGGGCCTCGCGGGGCCTCCTGTTGCCTTCTGGGGCCTCCTGGCGCTTCCTGAGGCCTCCTGGGGCCTCCTGTGGTTTCCTGAGGCCTCCTGGAGCTTCCTGGGGCCTCCTGCATCCTGTGGCCTCTTGAGTCTTCCTGTCGCCTCCTGATGCCTCCTGGGACCTCATGTGGCCTCCTGGGGCCTCCTGGAGCCTGCTGGAGCCGCCTGTGGAACCGATCGAGACATCCTCAAAATCTGGCACCCCTAGGGGCGAAGATAAGCGCCTCGCTCGAAGCATCGTCCAAATCTGCTCCGAAAGCAGAGGAAGTTGTGCATGCAAACAGGCAAACCGCTCGAGACATCCCGCCATTTTGGCGCGAACGGAGGCCGTGAGATACCCCTGGGCCCCCCCCCTTAGGAGGCGCCTCGCTCGAGACATCCTCAACATCGCCTCCTCGAGACATCCCCTCGCTCTGGAGGGGAGGGATGATGAGGAGGGGTCCGGCGCGGTCAGAGAATGACAAGAACACCCTCCTTCGGATGTGGGAGAAGCAACAACAACAATAAAAATAAACATGAAGAAAAACGTGTTTGGTGCGCCAGAGGGCATGGCGGCCTTGCGCGGCATTGTGCACGAGCTGCCAGCGCGGCCCCGCGTGCAGACGAAGGGCGATGACGCGCGGCCTGACGAGGGCAGCTTGCGCGCGGAACGTCGGTGCAGCAGACCCTAGTTTGCGCCGCCCACCTGGATCCTTACCATTGATAGCAGATCGGCAGATGCAGGTACAAGCATGAAGCAGCAAGGCGGTGAAAGTAGATTGAGCTTCGGCCGGCCCAAATAAGAAGCGCATGTAGAAAGGCATCATTGAGTGAATCAAGAAAAGTGGTGGAGACGTTTGGGGGCACTGGGTAAACCCAACGCACCCGCTTCCGACGGGGGGGCCGTATCCATCTGTAGAGGAACGGAGACTTCATTAAAAAGACAACTTTCGGAGGTCGGCGCCGACGACCGGAAGGGATGGGGGTGGGCGCAGCGCCGACCCAAGAAATCCGCGCGGGCATTCCGAAAGCGTATGTTGATGCCGCACTCTCTTCTCGGGGAAAGCGGCCCTAATACAAAAACTGTTAGAGTTTCGCGCCCATGTCTTGGCTCGGGCTGGAGCCCCTCCCTGGCGCGCGGAGCGCGCCAGAGGCGGCGCCGGAATCGCCGCCCGGGAGGCCCAGC